CATGTTTGTATCAGCAGATTAATTTCTTCATCCTGGTGAAACATTAGAATTATAACTTTGTAGTTAGAACTGGAGAAACTGTTTTTGTAATTACTGTTATTATTATTGTTATTTATTATTATTGCAGTTACATTTTACAAGTTTGTTCAGTGTTCCAGCAGTTAAGCATACCAAACTGGTTGGAGCTCAGAGCACACAAATAAGTTTACATAAAGAACAGCTGTATGTGGCATATGAAACTCAAATATAGCCATAATAATCAAAGGACCATTTCTCTCCCTCACGCAGTAATTTATATCTATTGCCCTTAGAACAAGAAGTCAATGTGCACTTGTAGTAACAACTGCTATTTCTTATCCTTTAAAGTGAATTGCATGGCAATATCCTACTTTTAGCTACTAAAAACTTGCTGAAAATCCTCCTTAGAAGGTAAAATGTTCACTGGGTCTTCTAAGAACTACAAGTTGGGCTGGGAATGTGGGTTAGTGGTAGAGTGCTTGCCTATCATGCAAGAGGCCCTGGGTTTGATATCTTAGTACCACATAAACAAAAAATAAATAAATAAAAATTAAATCATAAAACTGCAAGTTGAATGAAAGGAGTATATAAGTTCTAAAAATGTGGCAATAAATGCATTAATGTCTTAAAATTTATTCTTTGAAATGTTTGATTGTATAAACATTGCTTAAGTACCTCTTGCATACCAAGGCTGTAATGCTTATAGTGTATAAAATAAGCTGTAATGCTTATAGTGTATAAAAGGTAAAATAGCACTTAATTTGTTCTCTTCCCACTGGAACACTGGAATTTAAAGTTTGTCACTTGGAGTTACTGAGAATAGAAATGATGAAATGGCTGAATTTTTAAAATTAATTTTAAATAACTACATTTATTTTTAACATACTATTGGATCTTATGTATCAAATGATTTATATTCAATTGAAGATTGCTTGCTTTGACTTAAAAGATATGTAGTTGCAATCGGCATAAAATAATTGGATTAATTTCAAGTTAAAGAAATAAACCTTTGCTGCGTTTTCTTTAACTTTGTTTACATGACTTATTTGAGAAACTTATTTTATCACTGCTGTTGTCTGAAAAACTGTATGGTCTAAATAGGGCCCACAAGTCCTCTTTCTAGACAGCCTCTAAGGCATGCTTTCTTCTAGGCTGACCATCAAACTTTTTGCTGTTCACAAGTTTAACATCTAAGCATCTGTGAAACTAATCAGCTATAACAGGTTTTCCTTCAGTCATTCATCAAGCCTAGTTTCATACTTCCAGAAGGACTTCAATTCATCAACTTGATTTCCCTTAGTTCAGTACAGTCAGTTCAAGTCCCTGAGTTAAGGTTGAGACATTAATCTCTTGTAACATTATTTTGTTTGGCACTAAGTTAGTGTTTTCACAAACCTTGGCATTATTGTGCAGTTTTTCTTTTCTTAGGAGTGGTATCTCTACTCTTCAGCTCACTACCATCATTGCCTATTTTTTGGCCCACATAATCATTAGTAGTGTCATCTGAATTTCTACAACAAAAATTTGGTGATAGTGTGCTATATTTGGTATCATTCCCTATATTAATAATATATTAAAATGTTTGACTCATTAAAACTATATTGTTGGGCTGAGAATGTGGTTTAGTGGTAGAGTGCTTGTGTTGCATGCATGAAGCCCTGGGTTCAATTCCTCAGTACCACATAAACAGAAAAATCTGGAAGTAGCTCTTGGCTCAAGTGGTAGAATGCTAACCTTGAGCACAGAGAGGCTCAGGGACAGTGCTCAGGCCTTGAGTTCAAGCCCCAGGACTAGCCAAAAAACTATATTGTTGGGTTTTTCCATTTCCCTTGTCATAAATCTACAGGTTGTTAGGGATGGTGCTAATCCACGTTCATAATATGTTCATTTTCTGCTCTGTAAAAAGGAAGCCACATCCCTAGTCTTTGAATTCCCTCACTGTCTTAGGCCTTTCAGTTGGCTGAATGTCTCTCTGTGAAATTCTTTCAGTCTTCCTAGACTGTTTAGGATTCATGCATTAAAAAATGAGCACTTAGATTGCCACTGGTGGCTCATGCCCTGTGAGACTCTCCAATTAACTATCAGAAAACCATTCCTGGCCTGTGGCTCAAAGTGGTAGAGCATTAGCTTTGAGCAAACAGTCTCAGGGACAACTCCCAGGCCTTAAGTTCAAGCCCCATGACTGACAAATAAAAGCAAAACAAAAAAGCAAAACAAAACAAAAAACCCACATTTATGTCAGACTCTTTTCAGTGTTGGCAAAACTAGATGTTTTCATAAACATTTAATACTTGATTCTTCCAGTAGCACTGTGGACTTAATAAGACAATTCTGGGTGGCAGAGTTTGTACAGTTTGCAGGGAGTATGTGGTTTGTATTACTACCACACTGATTGAAACCCATTGCTCTGGATCCTAAAGTACAATGTATCTCCTGATCAAAATCAAATAATCAAATTGAAAACAGATTGTCTACTTCCATCTGATATTAGAATGATTTTCGCTCTACTCATTATCTTGTAAAATATGCTGTAATCTTTTAAGACTAGTAATCTAGGAATGTGGCCTAAACCATGAATGTGAGCAAAAATTGCTGTAATTATTCTGTCTATGCTTTCTTAGACAAGTACTCTTTCAGTTGTGTTTAAATTTAGTTTCTTCTAGCAATTATTTTAGCTGATGGAAACATTAGCATCATAAAATATGCATTTCAAATATACATTTAGGATACTCATTTCTTCTCCAGTAAATGAATTATATTCTATTTTCACATCTGTGTATATATTGTTTTTTCTATAGAGACCGAAAATTTTGTTATTGATGTAAGCCTTCAGTATTTTTCTTGTAAATTATACTGCTTATTTTTAAAACTTTATAAAAATAAATCTTTAATATATAAATAACTGAGACAATTTCTCCATAGCTTTATGCAAAGCAACAGAATCAAATATTTAGCTTGGAAAGAGGTACATGTTGCATCTACCATAGTCATCAATAGATGACTTAGAATCAGTGCTCTATATGGCTCAAGACAACCCCAGATCCTCATTTCAATCCTATCTTGTTGCTCCAGCTGCTAGCACTGAACCCATCATTAGACTAAACCACTCATTCTCTTCTCTCAATCCCCTCTCACCTGCTTTTCTTCTTCCAGCACTAGTATAGAAATATGTTTATTAGTATAGAATTATGTTTCATATTTTGTCCGCTAATAAGCAATTTTTTAAAGTTGGTGAATTGTTTGCAATCAAAAGAAATCAATGTTGGTGTTCAATTAACTTTATGGAGAACATTTTAGTAAAAACATAATGCTTCTGTGTTTATTACTATAATCACCAGTTGCCCTCAGCAACCTGTGACATGATATCTGTGGAGATAGGAATATTTCTTTCTGCACTCTTCTTACCCTGACCTTCAGTATGGATATCCTTCACAGAATGTATATGCAGTGACCACTGACTGCTGATAGAGCAGTGGTGGGGTTGCTTATTGGCCTGAGGAATCTCCTGCTCCCAGAATCTATCAAATTCAAAAACCATTGCTTAGTTGTTGTTTTTAATTTCTTATTTCATTTTCTCTCACTGTCCTTTGTTCAGGGGAGAATGACAGTAAAAGATTTAGGCAAAGGCTCCTTCTTCAGGAATGCTAGTTGTCCAGAGACAGAAAAAAAGATGATTATCTCCATGCTTTAAAATTCTGGAGCCACACCTGTAATCCTAGCTACTCAAGAAGCTGAGATCTGAGGATCGAGGTTTGAAGCCAACTCTAGGCAGAAAAGTCCCTGTGAGATGCTTATCTTCAATTAACCACTCAAAAAATGGAACTGGAGCTATGGCTCCAAGTGGCTAGCCTTGAGCAAAAGCACAAAAGGACAGTGCCCAGGTCCTGAGTTCAAGCCCCATGACCACCACCACCAACAACCAAAAAAAGGTCCTTCAATTTGACATCTTTTTGTAGTATAATTTGAGACTATCCGTGGCAGAGAGAAATTGAAAGTTATTTTTATTTAGTATTTACGTCATTAACAGCTTATTAGAAAACAACCAAATAAACAAAAACTACATTCTCATATGTGTTTTGTCAAAGAACCATAACTGTCACTTAAATGAAATAAAATCAAAGTATTCACATTAATTTTCAAACTTCACTTTTTTAATTGCAGTCATGGCTAGAGATGAACTTCTAGGTTATTATATCTAAGTGCCCTTCTGCTAGTATAGAACTAGAAATTTATTGACATAACAGAATTTCTCTCTATATGTATGTAGAGGATATACAATATACTTAATTATTCTTTTTACTTGTATGATCTTTGGATAATGGTAGGTATAAAAAGTCAATGTGAATCTTTCTAATAATTTGAATAGCCTTAATAATTGTACTCCAGCTAATTTTATGAGAACTTCTGGATACCTTCAAATTGCAGTGAATCATTATACGATTCATTATTTTTTTCTCTCTGAATATTTTATGTCCTCATGAATAGAGGATTTTTTTTCACATATTTGTAGTTGAATCACTATTACACTATTTCAAGAATGAGTTTCAAAGAGCCAAGGATATTCGAGAATATCATTCCTTTTGTTACAGAGGCCATGCATGATGTATTTATAAACTTTGGATTAATTATATCCATATGACAATGCATTGCTTATAATCTTTGGATTGTGTCCACAAGTCAATGCCAAGGAGAAGGATTCCAGAAATTTCCTATGGCACTGTTACCATTTCAGATCTTTGTGGTCACAGTTGAAGTCATTTGAATAGTTGTGAAAATAACTCTAAAAAGACTGTAAAATAATAAAAAGTTTATATGTTTTCATAAGCTGGAAACACTTGAATACAGCAGTCCTTTAAAATGCAGCAGTGTATTGGGTATAGCAGGTATATCAAACTTGCCTATCAATTAGTTACTGTTTGTGTCAATTGTGTGATTACAACTGTATTATGAAATGTTGATTCTATTATCTCTTTTCTTCATAGGTAACCCATTAAGCAAGGATAAGTCTAATGATTGCCCCAGGCTGATGACAATGAACACAGGCATAGACACATGACTCCTGAGGTGATCTTGAAGATTTTTATACTGCTCAGCAAAGACACTTTGGAGTCTATTTCCAAGAGATTCCATGGCTTGTTATCAGTCTCTTCCTGAACATAAGACTAATTCAGACATGAACTTCCATGTCATACAGACTTCGTTGGGTTTGAATCCTATTCAACTTGTGACATTGCTGAGGGAACTTGGAGCTGCTATCTGCAGAGCTGGTGGACTGTTGGTGTTTTCAGGGTGACTTCAGAGACAATCACCTTTTGGGTTCCTAGCTCCAGCTGTGACTGCTTTTCTTGTTTCTGAGAGCTGTCTCCTAAGTGCACTGTCCTTCTGTCATAAATGTGTTCCTGGGTCCTTCATGCATTGGCTAGTGGACTGTACACAGCTTTGATGACATTTCCTCTGGTGGCATGATGTACACCAAGACTCTTTAATTGGTATATCATAATCTTGGAGCTCTGAAAGCCTACATTTTAACATCTTACAGTCGCTTTTGTTAAAGGAATGGAAATATATATATATATCCATTTATACTAATTATTGTTGGCAAGTAGTAGTAATCCAAATACATCAATCATGTAAGAATGTATAGACAAGTTGACATGTTTCCCCAAGGCTAACATAATACTGCAGCTTTCTGCAAGTTAAATAAATAGTAGTAAGAACTGGATTACCATTTTCATTATAGAATACTTGGTACCTCTAGACCACTGTCAGATCTTTTCAGTGTGTTTTTTTTTTTTTTAAGTAGGCCTTAATTGTTTTTATGTTTACTTTTGCTCTTCTCATAAATCAGTGGTGAGCCATCAAGTTAGTGGGTAGTGTGTTCAGATCAGAAAATTCCCAGGGATGCATGTGAGCTTCTGATTTCTTAGCTTGGATGTTATTCACTTAGATTTCTTCTTATATTTTTTAAAAAAACTGACCTTTTTTTTTGGGGGGGTGTCATTTTAAGAGTCTGTCTCTTGCTTGTTCCCAATGACTGTTTGAATGCTTATAGATTTGTTTGTTTGGTCTGTTGATAGAATAAATTGTTCATTTACCTTGGTCTCAAAGTTATAAATATTTGCTTATTGTTGTTTCTAGCCAAACAATTTCACAGGCCAGTATTTTGATCATCCTTTTTCATAGCCATTTTACCATTGGTGATTTTTAGTTCTAAAGGATCATCTTATAAATATTTAAAGGCCTTAAACATTTATGTATTTCTTTATGGGTTATTACAGAATGTATAATTTTATACTACATTTATTTTGCTTCATTTGTGAAGTGGAGGGAGAGAACAATGGAGACTACATAGCCATTTTGTATTAATATTGTGTAAAACCATGCTTTGAAGGAATGTAAAGAGGGATTTCTGCGTCTTATCTGCTTCAGATTAATCAAAAGCTGCTTCATAAATGGTCCTTTCAGGAGTCTCACAATGTTAGAGAAAGTGTGAAATACTTTGTATTGTTAAAACCTCCTGGCATTTCCAGTTAAGTGTACATGGGCTTGTATGATTGAGGCTTATATGTCCTAGAATATTTCAATCTGTCACTTTGTACCAATGTTGAAAGACCAATATATTAACAAGATTCTACTGGGAAGAACAACTAACACTGTAAATTTTACTAAAAATTAAGTTTGGAAAGTATGTTTTTGACATCGAACTGAAGTCTACTGACCCACAAATACATAGAATGAAATGGCTTCCTGTTTCCATTTTATGCATCAAATCAATTATATTACTTCAATTGGGTTTTGCAACCTACTATATGAAAGAAAGAACATAAGAAAACATAAAGAAAGGAATAAGTTATGCTGGAGTTTCTTCATCATTTAGAATATCATTAATTCCTTTAGAACAAAGTAGAAAACTATATTGTTTTGGAAATTATGGATTTGTCCTGAGTTTGTTGGAAGTATAGATCATGCTTCTCATTTAAAGAAAAAAACATGTCTTTAAAACAATGCTGGAAATTCTGTATTATATACAAGTGTAATACATGCATATCAATAGAAAAAAATAAATGGAATTTCAAATATACTAGCTAGGTTATCCCCAATAGATCCATGTTGTAACTCTTCAGAAAAGGTGAATAAAATTTGGATACAAAATGAACTCTCTTTCATAAGTACACTTTGGATATATGTTTGCCTTGTTTTATTTTAAAAATACTTCAGTTACCAGCCATTCAAACCTCTAAATTCAAAGAAAAACTGAAAAAAAAAGTCCATCAGCCTTCTTTTAATGATGATTCATGGCAAATACTGTCATTTTCATAAGGTTCTAATATTTGATTTGCTTCTTGTCTAGAAAACAATGAAACAGACACCTGCCTGTGTCATACTTCTACATCTTCAATCTGAGAGCAACTGGCAGAATTTTGCAGAAGGAAAAAAAGGACTGTGTTTTGAAAATTGTTGACAAATGAAGTTTATCTTTGGAAATAATGCAAATGTGCATCTAAATCAAATGTATACTTGATTGTTCATAAAATATTTGCAACACTTTTAATTTGAAAAAAAATGCTTTTGGTTGGTGGGGCTTGGACTCTGGAACTGGGTGCTGTCCCTCAACTCTTCAGCTCAAGGCTAGCGCTCTATCACTTCAGCAACAGGGCCACTCTAGTTTTCTGAGTAGTTTATTGGAGGTAAGAGTCTCACAGACATTCCTCCCTGAGCTGGCTTTGAACCATGATCCTCAGATCTCAGTCTCCTGAGTAGCTAGGATTACAGGCGTGAGTCACTGGTGCCCAGCTTATTTTGAAATATTTTTAGATTCAGAAGAAGCTAACACAACACAAAAAATTTCGGTTGACTTTTTCCTCATCTTCCTATGACATTGTCATACAGAATCATAATACCTTGTGAAAGCAATTGACATTGTAAAATACTGTAAACTTCATATCAAGGCCAGAAAGGACCTTCCTTTTTTCCTCCCTTTCTTTCTTCCTCCCTCTTTCTCTTCCTCTCTCTTTCTTTCCTTCTTTCTCTCCCTCCTTTCCTCCCTTTCTCTCCCTCCATCCTTCCTTTTCTCCTTTCCCCTTCCCGCTTTCTTTTCTTCCCTCCCTCCTTTCCTTCCTTCTTTCCCCCCTCCCTCCCTCCCTCCCTCCCTCCCTCCCTCCCTCCCTTCCTTCCTTCCTTCCTTCCTTCCTTCCTTCCTTCCTTCCTTCCTTCCTTCCTTCCTTCCTTCCTTCCTTCCTTCCTTCCTCTCTTTTGTTTTGTACCCAAAATTCTTTAGGGAAAAGATATTGAAATAAATATATTTACAGATTTCTCATAAAATATCTTCTTTATTTCATTGACTTATACCATGTGAGACTATGAAATTTAATGTGCATAATTGTTTGGCATTTAAATGACAATGAATTTCTATTAAGCACAAACATATTTGACTAAATTAAATGTGCCAATTAGTTGATGTTTATCCTTTCAAGTTAGTTCTATTCTCTACGTGGCCTACAAGTACATGTCACTATGTTAGCCAATGGGAAAGTGAGTCTTCAGGAAATTTGTTTTTCACACTTGGTTTCATTTATATTCATCTTTTTCAATACATTACATGTTAGAAAATGGTATATGTCATGCCTTAATAAGCAAAGCCTTATTTGATATACAGAGCAACCAGATTTTATTGTAGATGTTATATTATCAGGGCTATGTATGCCCAAAGCCGATTTTTTTAAGTAGATTAAAAAATTTGACTGAAAATCTAAAGGAAGAGAGATTGCGGGTATAAAGAACTAGAAAGTTAAAAGCCTAAGGAAAACTATGAAGTCTTGAGTGTGGACCATAGCACTGGAGAAAATAAGAAACAATGAGTCGCAATCCTGCTTGCAATCTAAGTTAATTGAGTATTAAAAAAAAAAATCCATGCTGAGGCTTATACCAAGATTGCCTTTCTCTTTATTTGGCAGCTTATGCTTTACCACTTGAGCCATACCCCCAGCTCTTGTTCCACTTTTTTGAATGTGTGTGTGTGTGTGTGTGTGTGTGTGGTGCACACGCACCCTTGTGTGTGCTGGTCCTGTGACTTGAACTCAGAGACTGGGTACTGGCCCTGAGCTTTTTCTTACCTCCACTTTCATGAGGCCCTGGATTTGATTCCTCAGCACCACATAAGCAGAAAAGGCCAGAAGTGGCGCTGCGGCTCAAGTGGTAGAGCGCCAGCCTTGAGCTGAAGAGCTGAGGGACAATGCCCAGGCCTAGAGTTCAGGCCCTCATACATGCAAGGCAAGTACTCTACCACTGAGCCACCTTCCCAGACCCCAATTTCAGCTTTTTGATACTTAATTGGAGATAAGACTCTTCCAGCTTTCCTGCCAGACTGGTTTGAGCTATGACCCCCAGATCTTAGCCTCCTGAACAATTAGGATTACAGGCATGAGCACTAGTGTCCAGCCATTTGAGTTATTGTTTTTTTTTTTTCAGATAGAATCTCATACATTTCCCCCCCCAGAGATAAGATGGCTCATAATCCTCATACATCTCCTTTCTACATAGCTGGGTTTAGAAGTGTGACTTCCAGGGCTAGGAAGGTGGCTCAGTGGTAGAGAGCTTACTTTGCATGCATGAGCCCTGGGTTCGATTCCTCAGCAACACATAAGCAGAAAAAAAAAGCCGGAAGTGGAGCTGTGGCTCAAGTGGTGAGTGCTAGCCTTGAGCTGAAGAGCTGAGGGACAGCGCCCAAGTCCAGAGTTCAGGCCCCACGACTGGCTTGTTTGTTGAGATGGCTCCAAATCATGATCCTCTGATCTTTCTCCACAGTGGAGATTACAGACATAAGCCACAATGCCTGGTCCTGAGATTCTCTTAATTGGGTTGAAATAGAAACTTGACATGGGTATTGTTTTTGTTTTTTACAGAATCCCCTATTGTTTTTAATGTGTTTCCCAGTTAAGAACTACTACTGAGGCATTGTGTTAAGTTAGAGATGATAAGATAGATGGGTAAAGTAATTGAATAAGTGAAAGAAAAAATGAGGAAGAAAATTCCAGTGGATTCTGAGGCTACTAAATCAGGAGAACAGAGATCCAGTTAAACATGAGAGAAAAAAACCTGTAGAAAAGGAAGCTAAGAAGCAGGTAGGCAGAGTTAATTTTTAATGCCCACTGCAGTCATTTAAAGCACAGTGAAACATTCTGAAAGGTCACATTGTGTGAGAGCTAAGCAGGTTTATTAGATTTGTGATTTGAGATTATTGTTGGTCTTAGAGTCATTTCAACCAAATGTTGTAGAATGAGATTTCAGTGGGCTGGAGAGTCAGTGGGAGATGGGAAGTGAAGATAGTACATGAAGACTTCTCTTTCAATGGGGAGTATAAAGGATAAGCTGGAGGATTGGTTATGCAGGAGATCCCATATGAGAGATAAGAATATATTTATTTAATCTATGTTATTCAAGTCAAGGGCTGAGGGGAGAGAGAACAAGAGCTAGAACTAGAAATAAAGGTAGCTGATGATAGAATAGTTGCCTACCAAGAGACAGAAGGAAATACAAAGTAGATAAAGTATAAGGGGAACATAATCTGTTAGGAAATATACTAGGAAATATACCAGGCAGGTGGTGTGAGGACTTTGCAGAACAGTGTTGGTACATGATGAACCATAAGTCAAAGTACAATTAATGGGTGAATATTGGCTTGTGCCGGAACTACCAAAACATAGTTGGTTTATAGGTCCAAGATTATTAATGAAGAGAGAAATTAATGAAATCACAAGATCCTGCTTTTTTTATTTTTTTTATTGTGAGAATATTGTACAGCCTCACAATTGTTGTGAAGACCCAGTGAGTGAATTGAAGGGTTTAACAGTATCTAGCACATGGAAAATACTTATGAAATGATGGTACTCTTATCGTAAAAGATGACAAAATTCTGATGACCCATAATGTATGTAAAATATGGTTATAGAAATTAATAAATTCACATCCTGTATGACTAAAGAATGTGGGACCTATTAGTACATGTATTAAGAAAGAGAGATATGTAGGAGATGCATTTAAATACATACCTTTTGTACAATTCTGAGGCTATTGAAATAGGGACAGACAGTAAGTAAGTAAGGCAGGAAAGCAGTGTACACTGATACAATTTGGAGAAAGAATAGCTGAGGGGAGACTATTGATTGGAAGGATGAGGGAACAGCATACCCTTTCTCTATTAAATGACAGAAATAAAGATGAGTGAAGCTAACAAGAAATTACGAAGTGAGGCCAAGGGAAATATATGAAGTGATTCTGCACTAAGGGAATGGGGCATAGACGTTTTAAGAAGTTAAGATTCACCTTCTGAGTATACAAGGAACGCACTTGGGCCTGGGATCTCTAAGGACCTCAGCAAACACATAAAGCAGATTTGGTGTTTCTTGACATTGAGATCTCCAAAGACATTAAAGAAACAGTTCAGAGCATTTCATTGGTGGCCACATGTTACGTTCCATAGGAAGGATGGCAATGAAGAGTTGAGATTATCATTGCTGGATGTTAGGCAAGTTTGTTTTTTTTTTTTAATGGCTGATATATCTCCAGCACTTCCTCTATATCACAAAAGTCTAAGGACTTTCCCTAATTTACTCCTGTTTGAGACATACATTCTTGTCATTGTTAGTTTGTAAGAGTCTTGGGCACAGAGAGGATAAGTCATTTCCTACATGTCACAGAGCAATAAACCAGCAGCACTGGGGTTGTGCTAAGCAAGTGGTGCACTCTGGGGCTGTGCTTAGACTCAGCAGCAAGTATATCCACTGTGTGTATGAATCCAGCAAAGGGTAGAAATAGTATCAAGACAAAGAGAAATTTTATTACTTTTAAACCTGTTCATTGATGAGAACATTTTTAATATATATTTTTGTTGTGAAGATCTGTACAGAGGGGTTACAGTTACATGAGGAAGGTAATGAGTCCATTTCCTATCGAGCATTGTTATCCATTGCCAATGACTGCGTGAGATGCGGAGAACAAAATACAAGTGGTAAATTTCACCCTTCTTTCCAATGATGCTTCTTTTAGGAAGGGAAATTAAATTGACTTTGTATCAGTTTGCTTTAAGAATCTTTAGGAAGTCCTGTGCAGAACAGAAAATGCTTGGCAGCACCGGGGAGAGAACAGATTGACAATAAA